AAGAGAGTTTCCCGTTACAAGATGGGATGCTCTTACAATTTAAACGTCATCAAGAATTTGAAATATGTAAGTACAATTTAAGTTGAATCATGAAGTTCGTTTTGCAGCATTGATTTCAACAATAATACCATCGTTACATGCATTTGATCTAGATGAATTTCGTACCGCAAATTTATCACAGTGTGGTTGTGATAAAGTAACGGTAAGTTGTGCTTTAACTTTAAATTGCGGGATTCAAATTATTTAAAAGGACAAACATTATTTTTTAGACGCTCTTTCATAAAAACTTTGAAATTCTGATTTATAATTTGATTTAACTTCCGATGATTGAACTCATAATTTTATTTTTTTTATTTTTTTTTTAGAATTATGATGAAAATAATCAAGGTATAACTAAATTGGTATTACTGTGAAGTCTTAAGAAAATTTTAATGTTTAATTTTGGTATATAATTAGGTTGTTCGTCTGGAAGTTTAAGTGTAGTAAAACGGAATTGTTTTCTACACAAATATGAGTTCGTAAAAAGGCTGGGAGGGTATATATTATATAAATATGATCTTATTTTAAAATCTACTGATTTAACTTATCATAATTATTAGTGGTGGTTTTGGAAATGTCCATCTCGTAAGAAATATTTATGATGGACAACTTTTTGCGGCGAAAATTTCTAAATCTTCATTGCAAATGGAGTATCATGCAATGAAAGAATTACAAAACTTGGTCAGTTATTATTTTAATTTAATAAATAGAATTTTAACTAATATTTATTTGTCATTATAGGCCTATGTCGTGAAAGCACATGAAAGATTTCACGATGATCAATCAGAGAATGATTATTTGATAATGGATTGGTATGTCGCTAATAATTTATTATAATTTAAATTAATAGGTTGATGAAATATGTTATCTTTATTTTTATAGGGTCAGGCACAATTCATTATCAACATGGATCAAGAAGCAAGACTATGTTGATGGTGATACTATGAGAAGTATCATAAAATGTCTGGTGCCTAGTCTGAAGGTTTGCACTTTTATATTATATTTATATTATATTAAAATAAATCTTTTATTTATTTATAATATTAATTTTATTCCATATTTATAGTTAATCCATGAAAGAGGATGGCTTCATAGAGATATTAAGCCAGATAACATACTTGTAGATAACGAAAATCCTCTTTCATTGTTATTTACAGATTTTGGATTAAGTTGCAAATTAAGCTCGAATCCAAGAGATGCGAAAGGGACACCATTGTTATGTAAGTAAATTTTTAAAACAACTTTTTGTTATTTAATTTAGGTCTAATATTTACTGTATTTTACTTAAGGTGCTCCTGAGGTATTGCAGAAGAACCTCCAAAATGAGTCTTCCGATTGGTGGTCACTAGGACACCTGATATATTATTGCTATAAGGGAGGTTTTTTATTGCAGCCTGTGAAGATAGGTGTTAAAGATTTATTGGCAGAAATTGATTACCGGTTGCAGTTAATTAAGGACGGGAAGGAACCCGTGATTAATAGGATGGTAGAAAGAGGACTCGCAGATGGTAATAAAAATATAAATATTGTTAATTTATTATTAAAAATTAATTAATATATATTAACGTTAACTATTTATAATCAAATAATTTCAGTTGTAGAATTCATACAGGCGTGCCTTAAATTGGATATAAACGAACGAACTTACGACAATATTATTGTAAATATCTTAGTTTTATTCCTTAATAAATTATCCATAAGATACTAACAAATATAATATTCTTTATATTTAGAAATGTAGAATATTTAATGAAAAGGTGGAGAAAGATGATGATGTTTAGGAGTAAATTATTTAATCTCAAAATTTTATTATAGTAACTATTTCTACCACATTGTTGAGTATTAGTGTGATATGAAAAGTTTCCTTGATTAATAAATATTGAGAATAAAATTCTTGATTTTTAGATGTGCACCTTTGATTCCTTTATATATTTAAAATTATAAAAAGTGAAGCACATGCTTTTTAGAGCAACTTTATAATTCTCCTAATTTGCTTGAGCTAATTTGTGAAATAGTTATTCAAGCACTATGGTAATGCTTCTATAAACATTGAAGCTTCTAAAACCAATAGTTTTATTTCTCTTATGAAAAGAACTTCTAGTATACTGTATAATAGATCTTTTTTTATAAACATTAAATCATAATATCTAGTATATTAATAGACTTTAATATAAGGTTAAAGATTAGCACTTAACATAAGTATATCTCAGAGAAAATTTTCTGGAATTAGAATTAAAGATATATATAGTATATGTATATAGAAATTAGATTTTTTTTAAAAAAATGGTAAAGATTTGATTCTAGAATAAATTCCTACATATAAATAATAATAAAATTCTAAAAAACAAATAAGTTTTTTAACTTAAAAATTTTTTTAGAAAATTTTCAAAGGTGATATTTTAAAATTTTTTAAAATATACTTATTTAATAATATTATTTTAATTAATCAGTATTTATTAATATTATATTATAATTATAAAAAAGATATTTAAATAAAGAAAATAAATACTTTTGATAAAATATTTCTTTTTTTAATTTTTATTAATTATTTTAAATATAATTATATGTTAATGATATATTATTACAATTTTCTTTCTACTATTTTTTTCTTTGTTATTATTATTAAGGATTTACATTTTTGTAAAATATGTAATAATATACAGACTCTAATTAAAAGTCTTTGAACACAATTTTTGCATCATTTTACTCAAAATTCATTAATTAGAATTGCATCAAATTTTAATACATATTCAATATAATCTCAAAGAATAATATATTAAAATTTGAGCAAATTTGAATTACTTTTTTTTTTAAATACATAATAATGCTTTTATCTATTAAATATAATCATAATAAGTAAAAAAATTATTATATAAAAATCCTTAAGGAAGTACAGATGTAGAAAAAAAATAAAAAAAGCTACCTAATAAAAAAGAAGTTAAAAACCCTAAAATACTAAACCAACCCAGTTGTCCCATTAGGTTTTGATAATAATCACTAGTAGAATTACTATTACTGTTTAACTACGCATATACAAATTAAATGTATGATAACTAGTTATTACTGCATTAGCAAAAGAGACTAATGACAGCCCTGTATGTAAGAAATTTTATCATAAAATAGATGATTATGCTATAAATACTATAGGTAAAGAAATGTGAGTATTAGTATAATAATTTCTAAAGAAGGTTGATGACGAGACAAGAAAGTTATTCTTTTTATAAAATTAAAAAAAGTAAAAGATCGTTTATTGGTAAAAATAAGGATGCATCTTGACTTTCATATAGAAATATAAATTTGAAAAAAAAGAAATTTATAAGAGGAGTAAAAAAGTATGTAAGTGAAAAAGAAAAATTAAATGAAGAAATATAGGTATTTGAAATAAAGTTATTATTATTAATAGGACATATCAAAGTTATTTTTCTAAGTTAGATATCATATGGTTATTAATCATTTGGTAATATTATTCTTATATATATTGATACTCATGTGAAGTCAATCTTACTGTGCTACAAAGATCAACTAATAATTAATATTATTAATATCATTAGCATTTTTAACTTAGTTAACATTTATATTTATTTATTTTATTATTATTATCTAGTATATTATTATCATTATTAAATTATAATTTATCTTTTATATTTATCTTAGCATTATAAAATAGTTTAGTGTTAAATAGTAATTTCTTATAATTGTATTTTTATATAAATAGAATAGAAATTTCTTCTTGTAAAAGGGCAGAGATAACAATAACAACTTAATAGTTCAAGTTTAAGACTTAGAATCTAAGGTTAAGAATTGCTAAGGATACAAATCTTTACAATAAAAGAATTTCTTTCTAAACTACACATATTAAAAATTCTTCAATGTGTTAATTGTGTTTATCGTATTTACAAATTGTTAAAGTTATTTTACTTGTCTAAAGTATAAACCTAAGGTTGATTGTAATAAGATTTATTTTACAGTAACTTAATAGTTTCTTACACATTACTCACTGTTATTAAGTTATCATTACCCTAAATTCAACAGGCTAAGCATAGGGTTAACAAATTGGTAATTCCTACTAGGTTTATAATTGTCTCTATTAAACTTATATGAATATATTCACTAGTTTTAACATTCTAAATAATCTAAGAACATCATAAAAAAGCATACAGAAATAATTCACCTTTAGAAAAAAACACATCTTGTATGCAATGCAATCCTATTAATTAAACAGTAACAAGGTAATTTAAAAAATTCTGAAATTAGATCTCTAGTAAATATAATATCACAACATTCAGTAATTGTTTTTTAATAACATTTAAACTTTATTTAGATAGCTACTGTGAAAATGCTTATAATAGTAATAAAATAACTAAAGTAGCAATTATATTATTATATTGTCTAAATTATTATTTATATCCTGCTGATTTACATTCTATTTTACAATATTTATTATTAGTTATCCATACTACTGAGTGTTTTGAAAAATCTTTTAATACTTCTATCTCACCCCTTACTTCTACATCTACAACTTCTGAATTAACTGAAATGACAATAAATACTGAACACTTAAAGAATCTTATAGATTATATGATGAAAAAATTCAAGGATCTTACTAAAGATATTAAGAATACACTGTCTAATACAAGTAGAAATAATGGAAATTCTACACCAAAAGAAAGTAATATTATCTCAGTAAAACCTTTCTATAGAAATAATGATAAAGTTCTAAATGATTGGATCAGACGTTTTAAAATTGCTACTAAAGCAAATAATTGGTCTAAAAGTCATATGCTAAAAATTGTATCAGAATATTTGCATGGACTTGCTACATACTGGTTTAAAGAAAATATCAATACCATTACTAAATGGAATACAGATGGTAATACTACGGCAATTAGAAGTGACGAGAAGAAGGTAGATCAGTACTTGAAGATTCTAAAAAATCAAAATATAGATAATTAGATTTAAATTAAAATAGTATAAATAAATAAATTTTTTACCTTGACTTTATTGAGCCAAAAGAGCATACCTTCATTCTTCTATACAAGATGCTAAATAACATAAACAGTATTGAATTTTAATAACTTTTAATTTTAATTAGAAAAGTTTTACTATACTAACCTAATCTATTTCAGAATAGTGACTTAAATTGTTTATTGAAAATTTCTCTTACATGAGTCTATTTTCTATTTTACTTCCTTTTGATATACTTTTCAAATAACTAAAATATAAAAATATAAATTTTTGCAAATAGAATTAATATAAACTCATTGTTCTTTCTTTTACTAATATTTACTTATTTTGCAATCCCTTACCATTCCCTTAAACTTATCTCTATACTGAATTCCAGCTAAAACTATCTCAAATTCCTCTTGAAGTTGCATAGCAATTTAATTCTAAAAAGGTATTTTTGACCTGCTGAACCTTCTGTAAAAATCTACATTTCTTTCTTTTTTTAAATTAATTAAGTGTTACATCTTAGTTTATGACCATTTAAGAGTATTTAGCATTATAAAAAAATTTCAAAAAATATAAGTTAACAAGTAAAGAGACAAAATGGAAATAAAACTTTCTTATATAAAATTGTATTGAAACATGTTAGCATAAATTGAAATTTCTAATTTTTTGCAAATAATTATCTAATTTTATGCAAAATTAATAATTCTTTCAATTTTAATAAAATGATATAATTTTACGTAATTTTTGCAATTTAATTTATACATAAATTTTCAATTTTCGCAATTTTAAATCTTTCATAAAATTTTCAATTTTTGCAATTTCAAATCTTACGTAAAATTTTCAATTTTTGCAATTTCAAATTTGATTGAATTAACGATTAATCACTACCAGTTCAATACTACTTTAATACTACTTCAATACTAGTTCAATACTAATTAATCTAAAGTTAAACACTAATTAATTCTATAAAGAAATTTACTATATTAAGGTTTGACTGTAATATAAAATAAAAATTTAAGTTAATCATATACTATATTATTTATTCATAAATAAATTTGCAATTAAAATTTAATCCTAATTTAGAAATTGTATACATAAAATGGCCAAAAAATAGCTAAAAAGATAACTGAATAATTTGGTGAAAAGGCTTTAATGAACATAAATTTATAAAGGATATACTTAAAATAAAAGAATGATTTTTTGTATATATATTATAATTTATTGCTTATACATTATTCATTTTTAATTGCAAAACAATTTTTTTTAATTATTTTCATTCTTAACTGCAAAATATTTTTTAATTTTTTAATTAATTTTATTATAAAATAAGCAAAAACTTACATTTATGCAAATGTTTATTTTGTTTAAAAAATTATCCAAATGGTAATTTTGTAATAAAAGTGTTTATTATAGACATCAAAAAAGAAATCAGATGTCAATAAAAGAGAAATCAAGCAATAGTGAATAAGAAGAAAATGTTAAAGAAAAAGATATAAATTTAAATTTAAAAAATAATGAAGTAAGTATTATAAATTATAATTTA